GCAATCCTCTTGCCTCAGCCTCCTGAGAAGCTGGGACTACAGGCATGAGCCATAGTCTTAGACTTTTAAAGGCTCCTCTGGTTCCACCTAATGAACCTAAAAAAAAGATTTGAAAGGATCAAACTGTTTCTAACTAACTTGATTTCATTCCAGAACAAAGGTGAAGGATATTTATAGGAATCCAAACATATCTAGCACCCAAAAAAATAAAATATCTGGCATCCAATTAAAAATTACCACGCACACAAAGGAAGACAAAAATAAGACCTAGAGTAAGGAGGAAATGGATCCGTAGAAACAGATCAAGAAACGACAAGATGATAGAATTAGTAGAAAAGTAAATAGTTAATATAACTTTATTTAGTATGTTTAAGAAAGAAGAGAAATGTTTGAATGTGTTAAATAGAGGCATGGAAGATATAACAGACACATATCAAAATTCTAGAGATGAAAAATACACTGAATGGAGTTTATAGCAGATTAGACATGGAAGAAGGAAAAAGGCTTAAGTCCAAAGATAACAATCAGAACAAAACCAGGAAACTTCCTAAGTACTGAAAAATTTTTTTTTTATTTCAGCATATTATGGGGGTATAAATGTTAAGGTTACATATATTGCCCTTGCCCCCCATCCACCCTTGAGTCAGAGCTTCATGCGTGTCCATCCCCCAGATGATGTGCATGGCACTCATTATGTATGTATATACCCATACCCTCCTCCCCAATCCCATCTGCCCAATACCAGATAAATGTTATTCCTGTATGCGCTCTTAGGTGTTGATCAGTGAAACCAATTTGCTGGTGAATACATGTGGTGCTTATTTTTCCATTCTTGGGATACTTCACTTAGTAGAACGTGTTCCAGCTCTATCCAGGAAAATACAAGAAGTGCTATATCACAGTTGTTTCTTATCTTATAGCTGAATAGTACCCGTGGTAACATATACACATTTTATTAATCCACTCGTGCATTGATGGGCACTTGGGTTGCTTCCACATCTTTGCAATTGTGAATTGTGCTGCTATAAATATTTGAGTGCAGATGTCTTATTTCTCTATTAGTCTAGTATACCTTTTTCCTGCCTTTATTTTTAGTCCTTCTGAATCTTTTGTTTTTATTGGGTCTTTTTGTGACTCATAGTGAAAATCTTACTCTTTTAAGTAGTTAAGCCTACTCACATTTATTCATATAACCAACCAAACATAACTCAGTTTGGTTGGCATAACTCAGTCTCGATATTGTATAAGAATGTGCATTTATTTATGAAGCTTCTTTTTCTCCAGCTGTGCATTCTTAAGTACTAAAAATTGTTAATAAATAGTAGTGATGGGTAGATGCTTAATATCACTTACCCGTAGGATAGGGAGAGTGAGCCACTACATCTGGTTATGAGAGCAACTTGGCTGCATTTTTGGCTGGAGAATAACATGAACTTATTGCCTATTTCTGAACTTAGGTAAATAACCCCCTCCAATCATTCTACTTTTTTGATCTGTTTGTGTGCTCATCAAAACAATTCTGAATAATCGCTCAGCTTCCTGTGGTTAGGAAGGAGGGTGGAGTGTCCCTTATGAAATGGGAGTATGTAGGTCTGCAGATACTGTCCTAGGCAAAGGCCTTAGGACAAACTGGAGTCCAACAAAGCCAGGCTGACTGGCTCTTATAAATGAGGAAGACTGCATTTCTGTGGAACTATTGGGCATTTCACCAAAGAAAGAAAGATTGAATGTTATTATGTGATTTGGGAAGAGTAAGATTTAAATGAAGCAATGTCTTGATGGCATCAAGGCTAACAGGCTATATGGTTAGGGCTCAGTGTGGAGTCTAAACTGCAAAGTTTCCTGTTTCTTGGAAATGAGGAAGTTACCTTAGATATAGTCTGCTTGTGTCTAGAAATCCTAGTTTGAAGCCTGTATCTGGGAAATTGAGGCTGTTTCTGGATAGTGAAAGACTCAGATCTTTCAGGCAAAATGTAATAATTCATTTTTACCGATTTGATTTCAAGCAGCAACGTTTCTGACAGCTAACCTTTAGAACAAAGTTTCTCACTGACCAAGAAGCAAAGTCACTCACAAGGTTTTTTTGTTTTTTGTTTGTTTGGTTTTTTTAGGACATTTTACAACTGTAGCATGATCTTGAGAGAAACATTTCCAGTTAATTTTACAGCTGGCTTTGTCTTCGTCTATTATGTGTCGATTCATGGAGGGAATTTTCTTTCTCAGTCCTGACTTAATTTTTAATTTCTCATAAAATGTCTGGAGGTAGAATTGTTAGGTTTTTTTCTTTCTTTCTTTTCTTTTGAGACAGGGTTTGCTTTGTTGCTGGGGCTAGAGTGCAGTGGTGTCATTTTAGCTCACTGCAACCTCTGACTCCTGGGCTCAAGTGATCCTCCTGCTTCAGCTCCTGAGAGCGTGCGACTGTAGGCATGCGCCACACAACTGGCTAATTTTTCTATTTCAGTAGAGACAGGGTCTCACTCTTGCTCAGGCTGGTCTCAACTCACCTCAAAGATCCTCCCACTTTGGCCTCCAGAGTGTTAGGATTACATGCGTGAGCCCCGGGCCAGCCCTGTTAGGTCTTTATAAAAAAAAAAAAATTGCAGCTACTTTGCAGAATATAGCACGCATGGATGAATACAATATAAAAAATAATTGCTATGTTACGAACAAACAAAAAATTCCAAAACATTCATACTGTTTTGTTGTTCCCAAACAATAATC